GGAAGGATAAGATAAAGTAATGTGGAGCTATGGGTAGAGCATTAGGTGAGCTATCATGATCGGAAATGTGGGTTTGTAGGGAGGAAGGAAGGGGACTCCCAGGTTGCGGTAGATTCATGGGGGCTAGTTGGAGACACAAGGTTTTTTTTAAGGGAACTTTAATGAAAAGCATCCGGTACTGTTCACTTTAACAAAAAACCACATTTTTACACTAAAAAGTCAATCCTGGTACTATTCACTTTACCCTTTATTTTGTCCTTATCATTAAAACTCAAAGTTTTCAAGCCATTTTCATTAGTTTTCCTTTTTTTTAACGTAAGGACAAAAACGATGAGTTGGTAAAACATAAGAAATATTGTGCTAAAAACCTTATTTTATACTGTTAGATTGAAGCCAAATATAAGACTCTTAATATATAAATTATAATATAAATAAATGACCACTTCTTCAATAAGCAATGGAAATAGATGGTATAATGAGTCATGCTCTCTTAACATTCTCATTTTGAGGACCTGTGTGAAGTCTAGGTTTATTATTTAACTTTCCTTATCAAAAGTTGTAAATGATACCACATATGCTCTTAGATAGCCTTTGGTTTTACAACTCTAGTATAGGTTTATCTTGCTGGACATTTTGTTCAAATGCATTGATCGAAGGCAATCCTTCATCACAAAAGGTTTGATCATTCATGTACATTCCATGCATAAACTGAGTTCACTTTGTTTAGTCATGTTGTCTAGTTAGAAATTCTCTCTGATGTCCAGCTGTGAGTCAGCCCATATGGGCTTTCTGACAGCTTTGTCCGAGGTTGAAATCTCAGCCTTAGATTTGCTCAGTTGAGCTATGCATTGACAAGTGTCATTTGTCCTTATGTGGATAGAAATCTGGCAGCTCTCATGATAAAACCCTAGTTGCCTTCTTTATTTTTTTGGCTAGAACATTTTACATTTGTCAAAGAGTGAGTTTGAGCTTAGTGCTTCTTTTCTTAGTTGCCTAGCCACAAACCGTTCTCATCCATTAAAACCCCAAGATCTTTGTGTATCTAGGTTACATTGGTTCTCTTGTTTTTGTGTTGTGTTCTTGATCTAGCTTTATGGGTTAAATTTCTCAATTATATCAAGTTTTGGATTATTGTTAGTTTCTTCCTTCAAGTGTTTGATTGGAAAAACTGACTGGTTTTAAATTCAAATTTCATATCAGTTGCATTGATCGTGTTGGTTCTTGGTGCCACAAAGTGATGAGCTCAGGAGGAGCTGCCACTTCATGAAGATCGAAGGAGTCCATCTTGTGTAAGGCAAGGTTGCACAAAGTATAAGCTGCTCCGGTGAGCTTGTGTGGATACTTTGTATGAATCTTGCTTACACTGTGAATTGGACTCAGTGAAGAGTCCCCGATTTTTTTAACCCAGAGGTGGGTTTTTCCAACCAAAAACATTTTGTGTTGATCATTGTTTTTCTCAGCTTTTATATCTCAATATTTGTATATGAGATGCGATCACCATAGACTGTCCTTACAACTAAGTTAATCAGTGTTTGAATTTGTACTGAATTGGATCTTAGTTAACTAGGAACTTTTCAGTAATTCAAGTCTTTAAATTGATTACTTTCGTTGTTAAACTAATACATCTGATCTTAGTTGACTGGTGTTGATGACTAGTCAGATAAGCATACATAGATTTTTAAGTGCAGGTTATTCTGCCTAGTATCAATTTCAACCTGTGAGACAAATGCATCTTAGGCACAAAATTATATTAGTTTAGATTCAAAGGCATATAATATTTGACAACTTAATAAGCAAAATAAGGAAAATGAGGTTTCTAATAGTTCACAGATTTTAAATTGGTTTTGATTTATTAAGTTATAAAATATTTAACGTTTTTAGATCTAAACTAATATAATCTTGTGAATAATATGCATTTGGTCTCCGCATGTCCTCAAAATGAGGACCTTAGGCCATCTCCAACCGAAACGGCTAAACATAGCCCGTCCAGAATAGTAGCTCTGAAAAAATATTTTTAAGTAAATCGTGTTAGACCATACTCATATATCGTCTCCAACTGAATGAGCTAAACATAGCCTCTTCAATAATTATTAGTTTTACGCTTATGTTTAAATTTAGGGTGATTTGTATAAAATCAATAAAAAGTTACAATATTAACAATACATCAACAATATTTATGTTGATTATAAATAGGTCAATCATGTATTATAGTATTAGAATAGGGCTGGGTTCGGTTCAAATCGGTTCCCTTTTTTGCCAAAATCGAAACCGAACCGAAATTTTGGTTCGGTTCATTTTTTTTCGGTTCGATTTTTTCCGGTTCGGTTTCGGTTTTTCTTTCTTTTTTTTCAAAAAATGAAAAAAATTGAAATCTTAAATTTTGTCAAAGTGATAGTATTAGTGATAGTATTACTTTATCACTTTTCATTAGTGATAGTATTGAGCAAAAAAGGAACCTGGATGCTAAAAATAAAAAAATAAAAACCTTGAAAGTTTAAAGCGAGCAGCCCCCATGCAATCTGAGAGTCAGTCAGATTTTGCGTGTTTCCTTTTCACCCGTTGCCATGACTGACTGATAGGGATCTAGATTCACAGGGAAGCAAATTATGAAAAAGAACTGAATAGATTTTAATTAATTTACCACACTACAACTAATGCCACGTTTAACATATAAAACTAAGAAAAAGTACGTATTTTAGGTCAAACCAGTAAGTAGCTAGTCATCATTATCCGGAGAGACAAACAGATAATTAAATAAACAAAATAATAAAAAAAAATATTAATTTAATTAATTCGATTCGGTTTGGTTCAGTTTCTAGACCATTGAAATCGAAACCGAACCTGGTTCAGTTCGGTTTTTTCAATTCAGTTAGGTTTTTTTGTTCGGTTTAGTTTTTTTGGTTTTGGTTCGGTTCGGTTTTCGGTTTTTTTAACCCATCCCTATTAGAATGTATTTAAAATAAACAAAAATTACAGAATATGCCACTACATCTGGCATCCACTTCAACTGACACACCCTTTCTCATATTTTCTATATTTTGGAATAGGTCAATACAGATTAACGCAGTGTCTGTTTTCAGTTTTCAATTTTTTATTTTTTTAACTTGGATTCAAACGCTGCATTGCAAGCCGTTTCCTAATTTCGTTTTTTCATCACTCACACGTCCTTTCAAAAACACTCTTTATCACATGCATAAACACAAATAGTTGGTGGGCACACATTCCAAGTTACAAGCAAGCAGCAAGAATAGATCAAACTCCCTAACCTCGAATAATTTAACCTTTCAAACTCTTCCCTGGTCAACCCTCATACCTGCAGTTGCCCCAGTCTTCAAAGATATAACTTGCAAAACGTGTAGCAACCCAAGTTAGCGAAGCTTTAGTAGCCGTGTCCGTAAAAAAAAGTTTAAATATGTGGCGTATCAGTGCAGCGCAGGCTACAACACCAACATTTTTCGGCAAATTCAAAGAACCATAGGAGCAGTGTTGGTTGTATTACAGAGACTAGCACAAAGAACCAACTTCACGTGCAGAAAAGAGAGGTTTTTTTGGAGAAAATATCATAAACCTTTTTATGATTTAATGGGGCCAAGAAGTAACTTTGTAACTATTTGAATGGGCTTGAAACCCATGTAACATTCTTCATTGACTTATGCCTAATTAACAAAAATATTTCATTGATTAGGTCCAAAATAAAAGTTGACTATTAATATATGGTTCGTTAGTAAAGTTTTTATTGATTGTTTACTAAATTTCTTTTAAATTTATTGGTTATATCGTTGGATGGTTTCAAATCTAATTGTTGAATTTGAATCAATTATTGTGAATGAGGATCGAGGTCCCGAAAAAGGCCTAAGAGGATGGCTACATTGGCCAGGCTGATGTCATTATGGCCAAATAATGACATAGTAGACTCCATAAAATTATAATCAGCCATCAATTAGAGATGAATTTTCAAACAAATCAAGCCATTTTTTAATTTTTGGATCTTTAGCCTTTTTAATGGGAGATGTCTTATAAGAGTAGGACTGTGGTATAATAAAGGGTAAATTACACTTTACCACCTCAGGTTTGGGGTCGATTTCAATTCCTTACAACATCTTTAAAACATTTCACTTTCATACCTCAAGTACTATTTTATTTCAATATAATACATCCGTTACATTTTCCATCCATTGATCAGTTAAGAGCTGACGTGGCTGCCACATTTGTGCCACGTGGCACACATTTGGCAGCCACCTGGCACAAATGTGGTAGCCACGTCAGCTTTTAACGGATCAATGAATGAAAAATGTAACGGATGTATTATATTAAAATAAAATAGTACTTGAGGTTTGAAAGTGAAATGTTTTAAAGATGTTGTAAGGAATTGAAATCGACCCTAAACTTGAGGTGGTAAAATGTAATTTACCCTATAATAAATCAGTGTCCTCCTATCTCATTGAGGAACCAAGATCTTCTCTGGATCCATTCCCTAGGGATTTCGCAATCATGTCTGTTCATCGTATATCATGCGGTCAGAAATCATTTAAAATTTAAAATTCAAATATAAATAGTACCTAACGAAAATTAACCGCACGATATAAAATGAACAAACAAGATTGCGGAGAGAATCCTGGTTCCTCATTGAGGACCCATACTCATATCACGTGGCCCTCATGGCATCCCCATATTCTACTAACTTAAACTCCATCCACGTGGCTCACATGGGTCCACACCGATCTCTAAATAAAACTATACTGTACCAATTAAATTCCCTCTACGACTGAGCATATCGACACTTTATCAAACCCCCCAATCCCGATCGAACTACCAAAACCCACCGTGGCTTCTCTGTAATTAAAGACAAAACGAGGTCGTAAAACAACGGAAAAAACTCGTCTGGGAGCACACGTGGCGGGTTTAGCACCAGATGCAGCAAAAGCCGCTGTGCCGCACCGCAGAGAAGCCACGTCAGACAAAGGGGAGGTAGTTCCTTTCTGTCTGTTTCTATTTGGACACGTAGTAACCATTTTTCTTCTTCCTTCTGCGTAACCTCTCTCACTGCCACAACTCCGCAAGCAAGGCACTCAACTCTCAAAACGGTGCGTTTTCTTGGCTCGGAGTGGTTTCGCTAAATCTCAGATCTGGTTCTGGAGAACATCTCTGCCTGAGTTGTTGGTAAGTGATAACGGTTATTGATTATTTCTGTTTGGTTGCTGAGAAAATGAGGGAAAGTGAAGGAAAATGTGATTTATTTACAGGAATAGTAACTTTGCTCTTTTTCTGGTTTTGTAGGAGTTTGGTACCGGAGAATGTGATTTAGTTCCAGGAATAGTAACTGACTGTAGACTGTGGAGAGAAATTGGAGTTCGAAATGGCGACTGATAATGAATTTCATCAGTCTGATATGCTTTCAGACCGTCAACACTCCCAGGTACTAATTCTATATACTTTCACTTCCTGAATTTTCTGTTTGGTTGCTGAGAAATTGAAATTTTAAGTTTAGTGCATGAATTGTAAACTCTAACGTTGATCTTGTTGAACTTGAATTCTCTGTTTGGCTACTGAGAAATTGGAAATCTGAATTTAGTACGTGAATTGTTTGACTTGTTGCTTAAGATTTCTTATGACATTTTTTTTTTCCTATTTTAATTATGTTTTGTGGATGTTGGAGTTTTAGATTATGTGTTGTAGATGTGATTTGTGGGATTTAACCGTTCGAAGGTTGCTACCATATGATTTTGTTGTTTTCATATAAAATCAGGATGTATCTATCTCTCAAATTTTGGATCATGGTTCAATATCCTTTGGAAGATTTTCTGTAGAAACACTTGCGTGGGAAAAACGTTCTGTCTTTCGGCACAACAAATGTCAGGAGGAGCTCGAAAAATACAAGTCCAATGGATTGGTTGCTCAAAAGAAGGCTTACTTTGAAGAATATTACAAAAAAATTAGAGCCCTCAAGGTATTGCAGGCGGAGCATCAAGAAACCACTGAACCTGATCTTTGCCCGGATGGGAAGATCAATGCCTCGCAGTCCGAAAATGACAATTGTGATGACTTATCTCAAGTGACAAAGTTAGGAAATGAGACAATCGCTAACTTGGGAAGCGTAGTGGATAAACCAGTACAACTAAACTTGAGTGACTGTAATGACAGTACTAATAAGGTTACTGTGACGGAAGAAACCAGTAAGACTCTATCAATTGAACCGGAACATGATAGAATTGGGGCTTCCTTATCACCCACTCCATCGGTCACTAGGAGCTTGAAATCTTCCCAGCCTGACAGCCCTGTCTCTGACCCTGTCAAGAATGACGCTAACAAGCCAAAGAAACATGCATCTCCTGTATTAAAGTCTAAGGTATTATCTGGTCTCTGATATACATATCTCATTTCTAGAACAACCCAATCTTTGTCAACTAGGCCAAGGAACACAGATTACATCTATCTTAAAATGTTTAGTTTTGAATGTGGATCATTTAGTGGAGCGTTAAATGTCAATTGGTCTCCACAGTCAAAGCGTCATCTGGGCACAAAAAAAAAGGGCATACACAAAACATATTAGAACTAGACAGGTACTACGACAGGGTTATTAACACTTCCATAGTCATTTTATCTTCTGGAAAGAAGAAAGACAGAATTCAAGGTTCATTGACCTGTTAAATCGTGGTGTACGTTTTTACTTGTGCCAAGTGTCCTATGTATTGACCTCTGAATTAGCTTTCTTGAGTTCAGACTTTTTCTTGAATTCTTGTTATGCTTTTGAGGGGTAATTTTGGTTTGTTTTTTCCTAGGGTAATGCTGCTTTTCCACGGAACAAACCAAAATTGGACTGCAAAGTTACTAGAGCCAGAGATGATGTTAAGGCATCAGAGGAGTCAAAACCACATCCACCTCATCATTCTACTGCCAAAAGAGATAACAATCTTCTTCCTAGCAAGTGTAACACTCGTAGCTCAGCCACTGATAATAATTTCAACCATGTTTCCGCACGTAAACCGCTCACTGAAGTATGCTCCAGTGCCACTGTTCATCTTGCATCAACAAGAAGTAGATTGGTGTCATTTTCTCCTAGTCGTAGAAGTCATCCAAAAAAGGAAACTTCGAATGGCAAAAATTTGGTGGATACATTACGAACAAATCCACCAGTTCGTTCACGATCTGTCCAGGTTGGTCATCTAGTTTCCATTCAGAATTATAATTTCAAGCAGCTGTTATGCTGATAATTTTTTTTCTCTTTTAATCTCTTTATGCAGAATCCATCAGAACAGAAATCCGTTCCTGGTGGTTTGAAGAACATAGCTATAGTGAAACGGTATGGTTCTCTCTCTCTCTCTCTCTCTCTCTCTCATTTGACTAGTTGGCCATTTCAGGAGCTGTACTGGAGTTTCTAGAAAGCCCTTAGACTTGGGTAGTGAGCAGATGCGACCAAAGGTTGGCCTATCTGAAAACCAGAGACCAAAATCAATGTAATGCATGTTATTTTTTGACATATTGCTTCCTCTAGTATATCACATTTATTCTTCTGTATCTATATTTTTCACTCTCTCTCTCTCGCTCTCTCTCTCTGTCTCTCTCTCTCTCTCTCATTCATTAATTTGACTAGTAAATTTGATAATTTTCAGGAGCTGTATTGGAGTTTCTAGAAAGCCTTTAGATTTGGGCAATCAACAGATGCGACCGAAGGTTGGCCCATCTGAGAGCAAGAGACCAAAATCAATGTAATCCATGTTATTTTGTTATTTGTCGACCCATTGCTTCCTCTAGTTTCTCACATTTATTCATTCATGTGTTTCTATTGATGCTTACAAAGGTTTGAAAATGAAATAGTTGTGCTGTTAATAATTACAGGTTCACAAACAAACCTGCCAAAAATAAAGCGAACCAAAATTTTGGTGCTGACTATGATCGCAAGAATTGTGGAAAAGAACGAAAGCAAAAAGAGGTAATCATATAATGGATGTGGTTGGTTTATGCATGGACTATGTGTTGCTCTTGAAAGTTGTACATTCTCAGTCACTGGGATTAGTAACTTGAGAGTGCCCCATATTACTTTCAGCTTTTCTTGTCTAAATATGTTTTTCTAGTTTTTTTCTGTGAACATTTCTTTCATTATTTGGAGGATGTTCTTGTTTTCTGTGAACATTCATATAATGTTGTTCCCCTAAAAAGCTAAAAGCCAATTGACTTTAGCCCTATCTTTCTTTACCATGAATTATGAAGTTGTTTTGTCAATGTGTGGTGAAGCCATGGTGCTGTGTGGTGAAACCATGGTGCACTTACTTGGATATCAGGATATTGGAACTTCGCAATTGAAATACAGTTCTGGTTAAATGTTATCCGTGATGCTTCCCAAGTTTACAAGTTTAGATGGTTGAATTATCGATGCATTCATGATAACCTTGCGTGAAAATATAACAAATGAGTGATATAGAATTTTTCCTTATTTAGCATGTTAACTTGTTACTAAGATGGACCTTAAGTAGACGACTAGCTAGACGCCACATCCTATTGTAATGTTTAAGAACTTTTAAATGGGGATCGTTATTTACTCCAAAAAAGTCTTCCTGCACAGCAGCTCCCTGTGAATATTATGAAACAAGCCAAGATCTTATTATATTTGGTTTTGAAGTTGATAGTTGTTAGTGAATGTGCTTTTCTTTTCTCTATTTTTCTAAATTTCAGTACCATGTAAATCTCATGGGAGTGTTGTATAATGTGCAGGGAGATGAGGAAAGTAACACTGCACGCAGAAGATATCCAAAGTCTGCCGCAACTGTGGCATCCAGTACTCGGAAGAATGTAAAACTTGTGCATAAGGTTGTTTCTCAATCACAGTTTTCTATTTTACAACTTATTCGTGTGTCTCAGAATTGTTAATACTCGAAGATGTTTTGCTCCCGTAAAATTGAATTTATTCAGTCTTTATGTTTCTTCCGATAACTAACCAGATAGTGCCAGTGGGCACACATATTGTGACTTAGCAAAGTAACCAATTTGCAAACACTGTCATCAATTTCAGATTGCAGAATCAAGTTCTGGGACTCTCCCATATACTTGAAAGGAACCAAGGTACAGTTCGAGTTACTGTGTAGACAAGACTCAATAATGTCCTCTACAAATCTACGCAATCAGCACGCAGCAATGAAAATGCAAGCAAGAAGAGAGTGCAAGAACAGTGCGCAAGAAATCCGAATGTGCAAGGAATAATGTAAGCCCTTCTGAAATGCCTGATACATTAGCCTCATATCATAATATGCACCTGAAACAGTTACTGGATAAGAATATAATTTCTATGTCTAACAAATATTTTGGAGGCTAACGTCAGATGAGATCCCGAAATTAGATTAGTTGATTTGTAATTTAAAGAATGTGTATACATAAAAGAAAAGGGAACAGAAACTGCGAGTGCCCTTCAAGCTTCTGGAGAAGCAAGTCTTAAGTGTAAAATTAGTGGCTCTATGTAACGCGTTGAAGATATGTTTGCGCCGCAAGACACGAATTGTGGACATGTTTCCCTTCGCAAATTGCCACCATCATGGCAAAAGACCCGCCATTTTAGCTTGAGTTTACAATATCTTGCGAGCAAGCTGTGAACTGAAGTGCTAGAGCAACTGTATTTAACAGCTACATCAATATTTCAAAGGTTATGCCATCAGGTTGACAATTCCTTTCTGGCAGTTGTTCATATGGTTTTGTAGCTTCAGCAAACTTATAGTTCTTGCATAAGCTACCACGTAGATAATTGTAAGTTTTGACGTCTGGTTCACAACCCGCTTGCCTCATCTCATCAACTATATCAACAACTCTGCCTAAATTTCTTCTCCGACAAGTTTCTCTTATCATGATCATGTAATAACATCTCTTCTTCTCCGTCGGAACCAAATTCGCGCACTGCCGCAAGTGGTGGAGATGCTCAAATCCGAGTAACCTGTAAATAGAAAACAACTGTGAGCAAGTACAAACACACTCTGACGTTCAAGTTAGTAAGCAAGTATAAGGCTTAAGTAGTAGGCAAGAGAATTAGAGTGTAGATTGCGTTGCCAGAGACGAACCCTAGATGAGTGTATTTATAACGGTTGGGAGAGATCTTTTTGAGGATAGAATCCTTGTTGCGAGAATCTTATAGGATATCTAGAAGTACATATTGCACCCTCTTAGGAGTTGTGATTACTTGCGGCGTACACCAATTCATAGTTTGTAAGAACTCTAAGGCATATCAAGATTTGACTGATTCCATACCCGGATCAAATCCTATGTCTTGCAGAACAAGGATGGTTGGTCTAGTGAAGTCGCACAAACTTCGCCAATTGCTTCGATACAGAGTAACGAAGCAGTCGAGTTTATGACCGGACTTCTAAGGTCATTCTAGAAAAGCACTTGAATGCAGAAAACCACTTTAAGTGATTCTAAAACCTAGAAACATTTGTTCTAAAAGCGCTTTCAATCATTTTGAAAAGCACATCAAAACGAGTTTTATATATTCACATTTAAAGAGCAAAACTAATTGTGTTTCATATTGGTGTGTAGGGGATGATCACTGCTAGGTTCATTCCAACATGTAAATAGATATCTAAAATTAACCAAGAAAACCTAATAACACCTAGTGGATGAAAATTTATAAAATCATATGAATTCATTCCAACCAGAATATTATACATCCCAATTTGGGATTCACAAACCTTCAACCAAATATAGCAATCTCATCAACTTTGTACGAATGCAGACTTATCCAAGTTTCGACATTGACGAATATCGATGATTTTTTATGTTTGGACATTGACATTTCTAACAAATTCAAACATTTTCGATTTGTTTTGCAGGTTTAGACATTTAGGTTTGACTATAGATGAGTTAGGTTTCAAGTCCCCCTATTTTTCCTTGTATCATTATTGTTTTCGTTTTTAGAAAGGTAAGGTTTATGTCCCACCTTCATGTACATGTGTGTTTTTTTTTTCTTGTATTATGATGGGTTAGGTTTAGGGATGGGCAACGGTCATGGTGAGTGAGTAACTGCGGTTATTTACCTATAACAATTTATGTTCATACCCGCATAACCGTTTACCCGTTAATTTATTGCATAAATGGTTATACTCATACCCATAACCGTTTATCAATGGTTAACCATACCCATAACCATGTACCAATTTAACCATAACCGTTTACCCATTTAACCCTAATCATTTACCCGTTTTTGAACCCGTTTATCCTTTTTTACCCATATTTTCACCCGTTTACATGTTTTTTTTTAACAACTTGAAAATTACAAAAAAAAAAAACAAAATTGTCATAATTTTCGTTTTCTGACAATTAAACACCGTTATATGTACATTTTAGCATGCATTTCCTTATTTTAATCATTTAAGTCCTCATACAATTCCAATAATTGAAATAATAGTTTACGAATGATATTTTTCTGCTACACTCAAGCAAGTCTTTAATTATAATTACAAAGTAAAGCTTCTAAACAAAAGGTAGTGATTATCTTGAATACTAGATTATTCAAATCTCCAAAATATTCCGATAAATACCCGTTATAACCGCCATCTCTTAGCTTTGGAAGATCGGTTAGTACTCCCTTATAAGCATTTTCAGAAGCTGAAACATGATTCGTAAAGACACAATAACCATTTCCGAATAGCATCAATGGCAACTGAAACATGATTTAAGAAAACCATTTCACTTCATTAGTCAAAACACACAATAATCATGTGCGCACCGATTATTTTGTAAATAGATACCCGTTATAACCGTGAAAAATTCAAAGCTCCAAAATTTTACATATATTAAATTAAAAGGAAAACTAATGAAAATGGCTTGAAAACTTTGAGTTTTAATGATAAGGACAAAATAAAGGGTGAAGTGAATAGTACCATGATTGACTTTTTAGTGTAAAAATGTGGTTTTTTGTTAAAGTGAACAGTACCGGGTGCTTTTCGTTAAAGTTCCCTAAATTAAATGGGTAAATGGATACCTGTTATAACCACGGGTAATACCTATAATCGATGGATACCCGTTATAACCGTCTATTTAAATTTCACGGATAAACGGTTATACCCATAACCGTTTGTTCGTCTAAATAGTTACCCATAACCGTAACAATGAACTTTAAATAGGCGAGTAACAGCGGTTGCTCAAACCCATAAGTATTTTGCCCCATCCCTAATTAAGTTTATGTTCTTCCTGACTAGATGTAACTCCTTTTATCCTTATCAAAAAAAAATTATTCGTACCATCGAAGTTTTATAAAAAAAAAGAATAATATTCCAATTCAATTCCAACTTGTCACGTTTCCATGGCAGCCGGATTTGATTCTCACGGAAAGAACGACGAGCAGTGAAAAGGACAGAGAGACAATAAGCAACCGGTTTTCAAAAATGGCACTATTTTAAAATTTGACAGCGACTCCGGCGACCCGTGAAAAGGGAAGGAGACGATGAAATATTTTGTAACGGCGACATAATATTCTCTGACAACATCAGAATATTTCGTCAACTTAACTCTAACGCGGTCGACTTCACTCGCCTTCAGCCACGATTACAATTTAACTTCAATAAATCTATTTACATAGTCTTAAGTCTCGACTAGTACGTTGGACCGCATCTTGTAATTAGATATAACAGGACTAGACCCAATGTAATTTGTGTTGTAAATGAATATTACCGAGAATGACTTTTCAAAGTAAAAATATCATTTTCGTTAAAAGTAAACATTATTGAAATTGTTTCGTTAAAACCCTCTTTTATAAAACTACATTTAAAAAAAAAATTAATCATTATAAATCGTTTGAGTAACTCCTCAATAATTTTGGTATAAATGGGAGCATAGCAAATAGCAATGGCACGAAAGATATTTCAATATGCTCATAATACAGGCTGATACCAAGTTGTCAAGTATTCATTCACTTGTGTATGACATATAATGTACATGCTTGTGTTTTGAACGCACTGAGAATCTCACCATTGGCGTCGAATTTATGGGTGTTGGGAGAGAGAAATGGGATTTTCGTCAGAAGACTATGGACTTGTTTGAAAATACTTTTAAAATGAACTGAAAATGTTTTTAAAATGACTAAATGTATTTTTGGTGAAATGAATTTTAAGTTCAAAAGCAATTTAAGTGTTTTTTAAAGAAAGCATCATGTATATACTTCTTCCAAAAGATATATAAAGTGTTTTTTCAAAATCAACTTAAATTTTTACTAAAAAATTAATTATAAAAATATTTTCGTAAAAATATTTTCGAGCATTTTAAAAATGTTTTCCAAACCAGCCTTAGGTTTTTTTCGTTCAACGTGAAAAGGCCCGAGGCCTCCACACGAACGGTCGACATTATAATCACGCTACGAAAAGTAAGCTCCACTCAAAACACGCCACGTCACCAAAACCTAGGGCCTGCGGCAGACCACGTTCCCTTCCTCGCTTCTTCGTCTGGAAGATTCCACGGAAAATAAATAAAATTGGAGAGAGTTCGTTGCGGTGCGTCTCTGTCGAAAATCAAAATCTCTCGTCTGCAAACCCTAACCCTGATCTCTCTCCTCTCCCGCTCTCTCTCTCTCTCTTTAGATTTCTCGAGAAATGGCGTCGTTTGCCGAAGCTCCACCCGGAGATGCCAAGACCGGAGAGAAAATCTTCAAGACCAAGTGCGCTCAGTGCCATACCGTCGAGAAAGGCGCCGGTCACAAGCAGGGTAATCTCATCTTCTCGCCCTTCACCGAACCTTGATTTTTTGGTTTTTAATCTCGATGATTTCTTGATTTTTGTTTGGATCTGACAATTATAATCCCTTTTTGGCATTTGGTTTTTGGATTTGTGTATTTGGATATTTGTTTCGATTGTTATTTGGATTACTGATTCGATCTCTGCGTGCTTGTTTAGATCTGATGGATGTCGTTATTAGGCTATTCATATTTCCATTTTCATTGTAGTTTTTTCAGTTTGGTGCCTGAGAAAATTGACGAGAACTAGATTTTCAGTTGTTATGGTTTTACGCCGATGGAATTGAGCGGTTCTAGTAGTTTTAGGTCTAAATGTTGATCAATTGTCCTTGTTTGTTCTTGAGTTTTCGATTTTGGTTAGAAATGATTAAATTGCTATGTGAATTGTGCAAGTAATTCATAAATCAATGACGAAAAAGGTTATTTTTCTCTTTGATCTGCGATTGATAATTCGTAATCTGAAGGAAAATTATGTTTGTTTGTTAAGAGTTATCGTGCTTTGTGATTGTTAATATACAGAACGTTTTGATGCTTCTCGACATTACTAGGAAATTGTATATGTTGCTTTAGGTTGACGAGATGAGCTTTGTTTATAACGTTTTCGACAAATTTTGATTAAGTTTGGTTGCATCATTAATGCTTTTCTTTTCGATTAAGTTTTGATGCTCCTTAGCATCCGTATATAAAATGAAACCCTGGCTTGGTGATTGCATAGACTTGCATTTATAATTTTTCTATTTATGCGAACTAGCTTGATTGTTCTGTTTCTATATCTATTGATATTGATACGTGCAGTCTTTGTTGGGTTCAGTTCAATTTGAAGTTTGTTTATTTTTTTATTTTATTTTTTTTTGGCTTGAGTAAATTTGAAGTTTTTTTTAAAGCTGTTAACTTAGAATTGTTAAAACGTTCAGGACCCAATCTGAATGGACTTTTCGGAAGGCAGTCTGGTACGGGTGCTGGATACTCGTACTCTGCTGCTAACAAGAACAAGGCTGTGACATGGGAGGAAAATACCTTGTATGATTACTTGTTGAACCCCAAGAAGGTATGCAATTTTCTCTATTTGACGTGCCTCATGACTGGCGATTTCAGTTACTTAGAGCATTAGCTTACAACACTTTTAACCTGTTAGGTTCATACTAGCATTTAAGGTAGACATGCATCGTCAGTTGACTGGTAATTGCACATATCAATCATTCATGCATGTAGGTTCCATATTGAATCCGTGTGACATATAGGTGAGCTCACAATAAAAAATAGTTGAGATGTACACGTGTAAGCGTGTTGGTAGGTGGTATGTTCACATAAAAGAACGTGTGCAAGTATGCATATGGAGGTTTTCTTTTTTCAATTGACAATTTGAATTTATACGAGCATGAAATAAAATTTTGGTTAACATATACAAAACTGTTGCTCTATATGAAGAGCAGCTGGGAAAAGGTTTGGCGAATTAACAAAATATGAAGGATTTCTTTTGTTAAGTAAATTGTTAATTGAGTGCTGTTCCCACCTATCTTCTTTTCCCACTCACCCTGTGTCCTCGTTGCCATCACATTTTCATTAAATCCGGAGTGGGAAAATAAGACCGGTTTGCGATCAACATTCTTTATTCGTACACTACAATTGTCACTTCATATATAATTTTACGTAAATTCAGTGTTTGTACTAGATCTAAAAACTTCTTATGAAATTTCCCGTTTTGTTAGGAAGCTAGCATGTGTTAGATAGTGACAGTTCATTGATGTGGACAATCCAATGTTCTTTTAACTTTTATAACGAGTGAAGAATATCGGTGTATGTTTAACTTGTGCAGTTGAGTTTGTTCTACAATAATCCTAATCGGGTGTAATTGTTGTTATGCAGTACATTCCCGGAACCAAGATGGTGTTCCCTGGATTGAAGAAGCCGCAGGAGCGCGCTGATCTCATTGCATATTTGAAGCAGTCTACTGCATAAACATTTTCATGTCCCATTTTGCAGTAGTTAGAGGTGGTCACTTGATACGAGGCGGACGGTACTATTTTTTTGCCAATAAAATTTAAAATGGACGTTCAATGTCTGCAATTCTTGTTTGCAATGTCGAGCTTGCTTTTGTTTTTATAGGAAGGGGTTGCTGTAATTGCTGTAATTGGCAAACACAACATATTCAATTCAATTAAGACGGTTGTGACTAGATTTTGTGAATTTGGCGAAAATGCCAGTTTAATGATGATAACTGCCGCATTGTGTGTAGCAACAAGTCCAAATCTGTGCTAGAAAATTGCATTTGATTCAAGGTTTGGACTGAGATGGCCGACGGAGTCCTGGAATCTGCAACACAATGTACCATATAACAAGGTTTCACGAATCGAAAATATCACAAGTACAACAAATCTCCATACGTTATATGACGTTTTCTATCAGGATGTGAATACTAACCTCAACTCCACGAGGGCCTATGCGATTACGAGATACAAAATTAGTTACTAGTGTTGCAAATTCATCAGGTACATCTTCCTGCAGAAATTTGGGACATCAAAGTTCTAGTTTCCTTTTTACAGATTGGAAAATGTAACTTTTTCACAAGGCAAAAAATACATGGAAGATAAACAGAACACATACTTGTATGGCATGCCCGGTATGTCTGACGACAACCATTTGGAACTTGCCTTGCATTTGACCAATTGTGAGAGCTCTGTTGCAAAAGAAAGGAAAACCCAGCCTACATCATTCCTTGATTGCAGTCATTTTTCTTGACCCAAATAAATTCTGATTGTAGCAAGGCACGCACGCACAAAAGAAAACCAAAGAAATAGACGTACCCATTTACATGGAAGTGCCCAAACTATCACTTACACGCAAATAAACAAGTTTATCTACCTAACCAGCCGATCATCTCAGACTTCTCAGGGCTATAACATTGTGTTTTGTATGATATGTTAACACCAGGATATTCACATATAGAAGTTTAAATAACCAGTACAAAGTAATGTCAAAATCTTGTCTAGTTAAATACCACGTAAACATGCAAAATAAAGTGGATACTTAAATCCAATACAAGCATTTGACAAGACGATATCTCAACATGGACTTGAAGGTTTTCCAAGTTTTTTATATTAATACGAACCTCAATCCTTTCCCCTTTTCGACCAAAAAAAAAAAAACTATTTATCTTTCCCACCATTCCTGTTGGTAAAAAAAGATTAGTCTAAGTTTGCAGCCAACGGTTAAAAGTAGATGCCCTCCCGTTCATGAAGATTTCCTATCCTAGTTTGCCGTGTGTCAAACATTAAACCTATGAGTGGGACCCAAATCCTAAACCATTACGCATGACATAAATTTGTTAATATGCATGCTATATGAGTGTGGTAACATAGAACATCTCTAAAGACTGTCATCACGAAATCGATATGATTAAAAATATCATCACAATACTTTTTTTAGGCAAGTCAAATGGAAAGAACCTGTCTAGTCGGTCTGTTCCAGCTAACAGCAGGACCTTTGGAACGGGTGATGACAAAAACTTTTCTGAAAGGCCTTCATACCTGTATTTGAGTAACTATATTTACTGATTTCAACAGGAAATGATTTGACACAAAATCAATCACAACGATTAAAAGCATCTCCATGTATGATACTTAACTGAGTTTTATCATTATGCTACCATGGTTATCAAACATTATAAGACATAATGATAGCTCAAAGTGATGCAGGTTCATTTAGATCTCTAACTCCTCCATCCAAAGATTCCAAACCCAACTAGTGTAAACCCAAATAATATTGGAATGAGGGCCTGTTCAGCAGTGCTTCTAGAAGTCCTGAAAGAGCTTTCAGATAGCCAAAAGTATTTTTGATAGCTTTTAGTAGAAGTAAATGCTTTCTATGTTCTGCACTTTTCAGTGCTTTCATGAGAAGCACCAGGTGGTTTTTTATAGAAATTTCCTATGTGCTTCTACCAACAGTATTTATGAGAAGAAGTGTTTCCTACAGAAGCACCCTGAATCCGTCATATGAATAAGTTGCAATAACAAGCAAGCCATGCTACATTCTTGATGCAGCACAAGAAAACTGTGCACAAGGATGCAAAATGAAATGTTCCAACTCATAAATCTTACATAGTTGCGGGCAAGTCTGGTTTCAATTGAAATGCCAACAAGTAGCGACATGGACCCTGACCATTTGCCAAATTTTAAATGGATTAACGAAGTTTGGACATACCAGCTTTTCCAATATTGTTCTGTTTCTTCAAGTCGTGCTCTATAAATGTAACTGCAGAACAATACCAAAACTGTGCCTGTTATGTACAGGACTAGGATTAACAGAGACTTGAAAAAAGAATACAACAATGGATCATGCAAGTGGATAAATTATCGTAATCTTACAGTAATTGTAAAGGAGCAGTATATTGTACATAATACATAAATACTTACCATTTCTTTGAATCATCATACTTTAATGTGGAAGGTATTGACACCCGAGCAGACTCAATGTTTCTTAAAGAACCTCCCCTCACACTCAATTCAATCTACACAGGAATAAAGTTTCAAATTCAGCGTAAGGATTCGTCCCAATCTATTATCTTTTTTCATAACATGTATATGAGGGAAGCCATTTGGTTCTGACAATCTCCATTTTCCTAGTTTTCTCAACAATTTTATTCCAAATTACTTTACTTCCCTTGATCATGAAAAAGTATAACGAATGCTATGATCGTAATTCAAGGAATTTAAATAACTCTACTTTCCATTGCAGGCATACCAAACGAGAACAAAAAGTGATTTTAAGAGTGAAGTCCACAATAAAACAGAAGGGGAGACTTCAAAATCCCTCCTTGAAATTGGGGCCAATTCCAGTGTCCACCCTTAACCCTTTTCTCTTTGGTGCTTCGGAGATGCTAACCAATAAATTCAATTAAACACTGTTTTCCCTAAACCAAAAAATTCAAAAAGCCCTTTTCCTCAACCAAATATGTTAATAGATCATTATGATTGTAACATGCTCGTGATTTTCCACGTAAAAATATGGAAAATACCAAATAAAACAATATATTAAAAAACTTTTATCTTGCAATGGTTACCAGAGCCTACAACCCGCTGGCACTGACATCTTCAGCACCATCAACATTGGTACAAGATGAAGTTGAATAAAAGAGAGAGATTCGTAATCTGATTTATAATATTTTGGGGCCCTGAAATGAGAAAATGGCATGTGGTCTAATATCCTAGTGGATAGGTTGTTGGGCTTTCTACCTATGTGTCCCGGGTTTAAAACTCCCCCCTCCCCTTAATTATTGTAAAAGTTTCAAACTCTCCCCCCCCACCCCCCCCCCCCCCACCCCTCCCCTTAAATTTAAAAATAATAAAAAAAGAAAGAGAGAGATTTGAAGAAAAAAAATTGCTGCCATAAGAGTTGACAAAGGTGATCACCACAACAACATGATCATCGCCAATCATATTCAATGGGACTGGAGTGGACTACATTTGCGTAGAGTATGTGTTTGCAGTAACAATCAGTTGTTGTGGGGTCCTAAAGTTGGAATAATAATCTGCACCATAGGACTAATGTACAAGAGTGGATGTGGAGCTCATGGTAGTTATGGGGTCCTAAAAATTTGGTCTTTTTGTTGTTAATTCATTAATCAACATTTTGTCCTGGAAATTCGGAAAGAAATTGCACAATGTAGTTGAATGGATTTGTTTGGTAGTAAGGTTGAATGTTTAGGCCCCACATTAATCACACTTGAGGTCAGGAAGAAATTACATTGACCCCTAAGTTCAAGGATGCCCCTTGAATTATTCCCTAACAAGACATATACCTTGATCACATTCAAATGTGCATCCTGCCATTAAGAATCTTTGTCTTAATTTGTTCATCTTCAAGTGTAATGCCTCAATTGCAGTGCACTTTTTGAACAAAATTGTGCTTCAAGCCACTCATGCATGCAAGAAGGTACAAAAAGTTAGAATCATTAGGGTTTGAAGATATACCGCTTTTTCAATGCTTGAAAAACGTTGTACCCGGCTTGATAGGATTTTCTGCATATGAACCAACGAAGCCAAAGCTGTTCCCTGAAATATTTACAAATGCCAGTGTAATTTGACTGCATGTATGCCACTAAAGGCAACTAGTCACAAACAATGCTGAAACTAATTTTCCAGTAACCAAACCTCTACAACATCAACAACAACCAGCCCAGCCAAGCTAGATAATGCTTTCTTTGCGGCGACATGTACAGCAATTGACCCTCCCATACTGTATGACAGTGACATAAGTCATCAATGATTAATGTGAAAATTTGGAAAACGGTTACTATATAGAGCTTAAGAAAATGCAATCCGGAATTTTTCAATAATCATTAATATGCTCTTTTACCAAATAAATAAAATTAAAAAATTAAAAAAAATTAAAAAAAAATGTCTATTCCTGCAGCTAATAGCAGTATTCAGATAATGAGCTACAGATTATTTCATAAATGTTGCATTCCTTCAAGCCCAAAACCTCAGGAGTATTTCATAAGTATGGTAATGTAAGTCATTAAAACGAGAGAACCCAAAGAGTTGATTACTGATATTTTTTATACACCTAGTAAGTGTTAAATTTACTTCTCTCAAGAAAAACATCCGAACTGAACGTAATGTACTATGAAAACTTCAACGGAAAGTATATTATTAAAAAACTACAACCTGTGGCCAACAAGCACAATTGCAGGCGGGGAATCTCCATACATTGCTGTCACAACAGCCAGAACATCATTGCACATAGTCTGCAAATAAGAGAACAGATAAGCCTACTAATGGAGGAATATATGGTCCAACCAACATAATTTAAGTTCATCAATCCTATTTTGACAGTATTTTACCTCAATGGAAAGATCGGTATCATTTGCAGTGGTTGATTTTCCATGTCCTCTCAAGTCCATGGCAACTACCCGAGCTTTCTCCTTAATTTTACTTGCTGACAAGGCAAATGAGAGCCTGGGCAAATAAATCATGTAATCTACCATAGCATACCAGATTTTCAAAGTATCCAAGCATAAAAATAAATACAATGTGCCAATGAAACTAAAGCATACATCGAAAATAGTTACCATTCAATGTTCATGAAACTATGAGCTAATTCAAATAACTGCACCACAATAATTAGATTATTACATCAAAATGTGATTGCTTTCCATGTAAACATGCAAACCCAGAAAGAAATAGAAGATGTTTCAGCTCAAACTGAACAATTGAAACCCGAAAAACCAAATATTCATTCAAACATACCCTGAGTAACCACCTCCATGTAGACAGAATACAACTGGTCCATCAGTTCCTGCCGTGTATAAATGAAAAATCTGAAACAACGAAAGGGTAAGCACATTTGAAGATCATAAACACGTAGCGGAATCGGAAAAGTCAAAATTCTACACAGGCAGACTCACATCATTGGATTCCGGAATGCTGATATCATCCTCTTTGTCGAAATACTCCGTCCAATCCAAAGCTGAGTACTTTTCTGAACTAGTCCTGCAACAACAACAACAGCACGTGAGAAAGCATTGCATTGTGATGCCCTCGAGACCCAGAAGCTGAAATATGAAAATTGGAAGTGCAGGGAGGCGAGTCGAGAAGAACAACTCACTGAGTGGGAGGGCGATCGGGACGAGGTGAGGCAAAGGCAGGGAGAGGTCGGGGTTGGGGTGGAGTTTGCTGTTGATTGTCTTCGAGTGGGTCCTCCGGAAGCGAGGTGAGGTTTGATGAATCCATGGCCGTGGCTGCAATAGATCGGTTCGGTTGCTGAGGTCAGTGTGGGACGAAATAAAAACCAGACCAAACCCAACTCCCCGTTCGATGCGCCGGTGACCGACTGTTTTCTCTGTGTTCACAGTTTCACAAACTTAACTAGGAAGTTATGAACTAAAAAATAAAGAGTAAAGTTTGGGTTTAGTTCACTTTCACCTTAATTAATTGATTTTGGTTTACGAACTAAATTTAAATTAGAGTGAAATTGGAGGATAAATTCCAAATTTTACTAAAATAAAAATAAATCTAAACGTAAATGGGTGATGCTAGACAAACTATTTATTTGAATTATATTTTATAGACCACATAATATAACGGTTGATGATTGGATTCCTGATTTAAATTATTAACCGCTACATCATATAATCTACAAAATATGATATAGCAATATAGTCTCTCTAGTATTTTCCTAAACGTTATATACAATAACAAAAACATAGTAAAAAAATATTAATTATGTAGGTCTCATAAATTTTAGGTATTGGATACCTGAAAAATAAAGGTATCTCATTAATATAGGAGTTTATTCTTGTTGGAGGACTTTTAAGTCGAGGTGGACTTAGGATTTGCAAGAATTCTTTTGCCCCTCTTGGTTCGCTTTCATACCAATTTCCGGAATATCTCAGAAAAATTAGCACATCTTATGAAATACCCCGGTTAGATCAATGACTCAGAGATGCTGTGGTTAAGTAAATAATGGCTTGCTCAAGTGAGGCATGGTGTGGAAGCTAGAAGTTTATTAGTTTAGCATGAGAGAGGGTATGCATGAATGCATGGTGTTCTAGGTTGGACAATCTAATCTTCCTATGATTCTAAGAAGGCTTCCCTTTATACTGATAAGATTGAAGGAAGGTTAAGTAAGACAGTACGGTTGCGGGAAGGTGATCATCCCAAAGATTCGAGGTCCTTTGCACTTAGAGAGTGATTTAATTAGATTGGTGCAACACAACCTTGGATCCTCCTCCTAATATTCTATCTATCTCCTTTCTTCTTACCTGTATTGCGCCCCCTCTCCCCTTTAAGACTTCTGACCTCTTTTTTATAGGTGAATGATTCATTTCCAGGCTTCCTAAGGAATCTATAGTTATGGCTAAGTCTTTCGTTCCTTTCTCTTGGCTTTATTACCACCTTCCTTTTTGGTGTAAGACAATTGAACGTTGTTGTTCTCATGAAGTCTGTGGTGCACCTTATTCCCGATGCGCTACTTTCCTGGGTCAAACGATATTAGGATCACAATTCACCTAAGGATTGGTTGGCTTGCTAGGGAAATAAGGAAACTAGGTTTGTTCTCTCTTAAACTCACCTACATGGACTTCAAAGATTGTGGGCTTGGATCTTTGGGCTCCTAAGCAGCCCAAAGTCTTCCATAATCTTAACTCCGCTTAGGCTCGATAAACTTCTATAATCATCCACATCACAATTCACTTGGCAAGCCCCAAGCATGTGACTTGGGCTTATTCTAGCATGAATAGTAGTTAGCATGATAGAGCTTGGTGTGATGAGTATGCGTGGATTTGCATGGGTTTGGCGTGATTTATACAAACGTCCAGTTTAATTACCGTAGCATGGCATGATTGTGAATATTTTCCTTTCTTGATTTCGCACCTTTGCATGTGTTTACGCTTGCTTGGGGCTTGTATGACAATTATCAAAATAAGATTCAAACCATACTCGAATCAAATCCAAATCAAAATTCGATTTCTTAATATTGTTGTTCCAATTGTTCTCTTGTATTCACGTTTGAGTTTCGGATGGTTTGTTTTGCTATCATTTATAGTGTCATATGATGTTGATAGAAACCTTTGTTAATTGGTTTTTGGGTGCGTGTGGCAAAGGTCTCTGAACTTTACCCCATGTTTAGTTTGTGTCCTACAACTCTATTAGTTTCTCTCATCCTCCAACTTAACTTTGTATTGCATGAGTGGTTCTTCAGTCCAATCTCTCTCTCTTTTGTCAAATTTAAAGGAACAGTGGTCTGTTTATACAAAAAAAATCTAGTTTTATTGAAAAATGAGAAGAGCTTGACTCAAGGTTAAAGAGGAGTTTCTCTTTAAAATACTTCGTGGTCTGTTCACAGATTTTTGTGCTTATAATAAAAACGTTTATATCATTGTTTGAGCCCAAATTTACACCATCGGTCTGTGCAATCAAGGCCGTTGAGTGAGCATAGCTTCTAACCGTCAGATGGAAGAATGAAGATGATTTGGTTAAAAGATAGCATTATGATTTTTATCATAATTATATTTTTATATTGGAGTAGAACATCACGGTACGAGTTGGGACTTATCGCGTGGCATGGGTGGTAAATGGTGATGATGGGCGTCATCTTACGGATGAGATAAGGAATGGCAGAGGGTTGGTTTGCATGCATGAATCCTGCCAAGAATCTAATTGCATCAACGTGGGATTTGATAATCACCTAAAAGAAAAATAAGAGTTTTTGGATATTGGTGAATAAAGAATAAAAAAAACCTAAGTAGGTTAGGTTGTTTGATGAGTTGTCAGACGGATAGGCTTTTTTGGATGGGTGATGGCTTTGGTTTTTTAAAGATTTGAAAAGTCAACCTTTTGAAGATAGGCGTGAAGCCAATGCCCCATATCAGTTTGAGTTATAGTTGGACTCTGCAAGCACCATCAGGCCGTGCCAAGCAGATATCCAACGCTATAAATACATGAGGATGTGCAACGTTGAGGGGACCTCCAATTCAACACACAATTGCCCTGCGCAAACTCTCTCAACAACTGAGATTTTTATTTTCTCTTTTCGCTGACACATCTTCCATTGGCATTAACAGCACTGTGAAAGCAACCGGTGATATCTTAAGTCGGCATAGATAGCTCTGTCACCGTAGAATCAGCCGGTCTCGCAGCATCTTCCGTTGGCATCAACAGCACTACGGCGAGGACGGTTGATTACCTATCCAAGTCTCGGTCGAGAAGGATTTATGAATCCTTATTGGTCGAGGTCATCTCATCAGCTTTCTCGGCAAAGTGAGGTGTTACAGTTATTACATTCGGCACATTGAAAGCCGAATTTGATATTGAACTTCGTAAGAATAGTAACCTTGTCTTCAGGTTCGAGAGCCCAAGAGGCCGAAGACGTGTTCCTTTCTCGGCCGCAATCACAAGACGCAGAAGTCAGCCGCGCACCTAACGCAACATCAACAAATTTACTCCTCGGCCGAGCTCGGCCGACGAGTTGGCACGTCCGCATTCACCGAAGGACGTAGTTAGCTTATAGATTACTCGGCATGCGCGCCACGTAGGCTTGATAGTTTCTAGGGTCAACAATCATAAATCACTATGTAAAGATCACATATGCAAAAAATCAATTAAAACTAAGATTGTTCAATCAATCCTTAAGAAGTTTCAATTATAAACACGAAGTTCAGTGAATAAGTCACGAGATATTTTAAAGAGGAGTTCCCTCTCAATCCTTAAGGAGCCAAGTATTTCTCTTAAAAAAAATCATTTTATTGTTTGAATGAAATTTCTATTTTACTCTTCAACTTAACAGAAAAGTTAACGGAGTTAACAAAATGAGTTACTAGTGTAACAAATGGTATAATTTGAGAACGAAATAAACTATCACTAAAATTCAGGGACGAAAACTAAACTCGTGGTATAAATGAATAAACTTTGCTACAATTCAGCCACTGCTTTTCTAAGTTTAAAGTCTTTTCTTTAGTTGTATCAGCAAAGAGAAATCTTTACTTGTGTTGTATCTTTTGTGAAAGTTCATTCAGTCAAATTGTTCTAAACATTTCCAACAAACAAAAGGTAGAGTAGAGTGTTTCGTGTTGGAAATTAGTTATATATTTTATTATTATTTAAGGTTTTCTTGTCGGCCAAGGATATTAGAGTTTTTTGTCCATTAAAGATTAGCGTTTTGCTTTAGTTTTCACTATATATAGTATATCTTGTATTTGTTCATGAAATAAATCATTTACACCGTAGCCACTCAGGTTATGTAGTCATCATGACAATCTTTTGTTCACTTAATAAAATTATATTAGTGTATACTTAGTTTGTTCGTTTGTTAGTAGTGCACTCTGTTATTCAACTTGGTATCAAAACATGTTTAATCATTTGGGGTTGAATCTATCCTTGGTAGCTAGTTTGTTTTTCTTATCATGTTCTCTTCTTCGTTATGGTTTGTTTTGTCGTTGTCACTTAGGCTAGGGTTTTGTAGTTTGAAAGAAAAAAAAATGAAGCTTTGTTGCACTAAGCAGCCGAAGTCGCATTGAATCTAGATTCGACCTACCTACCTGCCTGCTACCTAGTCTCGTCACTCACTGCTGTTCCTGTCCCTAGAATCCGCCACTATCTCACGCCTGGCAAAACCACCTTGCCTCCCCACAAGCACCACCTTTTCTCCTGCATTTGGCATACTTAACTTAACCATCCACCACCGCTGCTGCTGGACCACGACCCGCCACTGGTTTTGACAAAGCTCAAACTCGAGAACCACAAACTCGGATTAAGTTCGTCTCGACCTTGTACCATAGCCACTACCTGCACGCCGTTGCACCATGAATCAGACCCATATCAAACCCACTTACACCTGCACCCAGATCCGTAGACGTCGTCTCTGCTGTCCCTCATAATCGAGAATCGAATCGCCTTAGTTATGCTAATTTTGCTAGTTTTGAAATTCTTGTTCGTATGTTTCGTCGTCCACACTTTTGCTTTCTCACCTATTAATTTCCAAGTATTTTTTTTTAATTTTCTCTTTAATTTCCTTTTTTCAATTATGTAGTCTTATATGCAGTGAATGGGGTGTCAACCTTTTGAATTCAATATGTAATGACCATGTTGACTACTTAGAGTGGTTGTACACGATTTTGCTTTTGATCGTTGGGGTTTAGGTACTATGTCCCCTTGTATGTTTTTTCTTCAAGTAATATATTATGGGCGTGAGGGCCTAGCCCCCTAGCTTCGACTGGGTTCCAGCCCTCTTTAAATATTTCTTTTTAACATATTTTACAATTGTTGCACTCGTTCACCCAGAAGGAAACAAAAAAAAAAGAAGGAAAGAATTTAAGGTTGTTTCTGTGATTGAAGGAAGTCCCAAGAATATTTTGACAAAATAAAAAGGAAGTCCCAAGAATAAG